GGGCAGGGTCTGTACAGTGTTGTTTGCAGTCTCACTGATGCAGCATCTGTCCCTTTTTAATCTAGTTAAGGTGTAAAATTCCCAGGACCATTGCATCCTGCAGTAGTTGATTGGGTATGTAGCACTTAAGTGGTATTGAGGGCTCAGAAGCTAATGGAACTATTGATTTGCTATTCACTATCTTGCTATGCCACAATTATGTTCTGTCATCAACCAGAGCTTGGTTCCCTGTCTCCCATAGACTTTAGCTGGACGGCCTGTCTTGTTTTGGTTCTCTTTTGTCTTTTGTTTTCTTTATTTTCTTTTTAAAGTAAACACTGACTGCTGTAGTTCCCCTGCTTTACCTGTGGCAGGTTATAGTGTTATGTCTTGTGTTGTTTCAGGGGTGACAGCAGTGGTTGTTTAGATTATGGATTGTATAGGATGATTTGGATAAGTATGATCCTGCCTCAGGTTAGCTGACCCTTTCCAGCCCTACTTTCTCCCTGTTTATCAGGTGTTTCTTGTCCTTGATGCAGGGCATAGAGCATAGTCTCCCTGGACAGCTAGCAGGCATGTCGTGCACAGCTGAAACCTGCTGATGGAGTGATTAGAATCGGGGGGAAAGGAAACAGAAGCCCCTGTCTCCAGGTTTTAGACCAGATACTCCAGGTTTTAGACCAGGGTGAAGATCTATCTAAAGTGCCATCAGGAGCAGCCCTAGTAAAATGGGACATCCGGTCTTTTATAGAAATAGTGTGAAAAAGTTTCTGGCATGTCAGTGTTTCTGTTCTAGTTGCTGGTCAGCCTTACTAATGTGAGTACTCCAGATCCAAGTTTCCAGGTGCCCTCTTCTTTAGGCCTGCTAGGCCATGCAGTTGATCACTGGGGCTTGCTTTATCTTGGACGACTGCAACATGTTTCTCAGCAAGTTATTCTTCTTGTGTCAAGGTGCCCTGCATTAGCTCAGAAATTATATTGGCTAGGAACACATGGGACACAAAGGGGATCCAGAATTTACAAGAGATATTCCTGTTTTGACTGTCTTTGTCTCAAATAGAGAGTTCTTCAGCAGCATCCATGGGGAAAATGTCTGTCATGCCTACACTGCCTGCCTTTTGTTAAATCAAATAATCTAAGAGTTGAAAGTTAGCAGCAAATTAATACATGTGAAGCTTTTTACTTTATGTAATCTGAATGAAAGTGAAGACTCTCCAAGGAAGTAAGAGGTTCTTCTTATTCTTTTTTACTTTGTCCTTTTATGATGGCAAACGGTTGTCATGTCCAAAAGTCAATACATTTCATGTGAATGAAAAATTCACGCTGTACTACTTCAAGCTAAAAAGTATGTAGGTTTTACTGCTAGCAAGTGGTCAACTATAGCTGGGTTCTTAAAGGGCTAAATAGCCTGTACTAGCAATAACCCTTCTATGCTTGTACAGTAAAGGCAATCCAGTCTCATGCTGCAGGATTTAATACTGCTGATTGTAGAAATAGAATAGCCCACCCTTTTCTATAGACCTGTTCAATTTGGTACTTGCAGTATAGTGGTCTCAATACAGGAAAACTTTGGAGGATGGCCATCCCAAGAAGTGATGTGCTGGACTTGGTTTCTTATTTAGCAATTCTTATACAATCTGTGAATGGGAGAGGAGATTCTGAAATAATCAAGAAGAAAGCAGTTTTTCTGTCACCCAGCCTTTTCTTTAATCTTTAAGTATGAATTGACTATAGATTAACATTCAGTGAGCCTATATTGTTCACCTCCGCTTCTAATGAAATGTCAAAGCTGACAGAGCAGCAGTAACACTATTAGCAGCACTTTTCCATCCACACCCACCCTCACGCTAATTATGAGATTTAAAAAAAATATCCTTTTAAGATCCCTCTAAACTTCAGTGGGATTTAAGTGCAGACTTTTTAAAAATCAGTTTATAGTTGATCTATAAAAATTAAGTGTCTCAGGGTAAAGATCCACATGTTCAATCTTGTACCTTGAGAGTGTCACTGCATAAATATTTAATACTCATTTAAAGTGGCTGATTTAATGTGTGAAGTAATCTTTGCAGTTCTTTCTGTTCCAAACCCCTCCTCCCCAAACACATTTAAATAAACCAATGTCTTTGTGGCCTCTGTAACAATAATTCCTTGTCTCCTAGGGGCATGAGTTTTAGGTAAAGAATGAAAATCATAGACTCATTTGGGACTAGGATTAGCTTTAATCTTGAGGTGATTCTTACAGTTGTAGGACTCTGTGTTCTGGGGAATGTGAGCTGATGGATCATTTCTGATGGGACTCTTATTTTTTTGTGTGTAATACTACCAATGCAAAACAGATTGACCTTGAAGCCCGCAGGAGTCAACTTGATGAAGAGCTTAGTTGGAGCTGGAGTGACAATCAGAAGCCAAATGAATCATATCAAGTGTGACCATTACAGGCCTGAAAATGATTCTTAATTAACCACTGATCCTCTGTGGTAGCAAGTTTCCAAAATCTGTGAATCCATAAGGGAACCAGTGAAAATGTACAAGTAGCAATTTACCTAATCTAATAGCTCTGGTGTGCTGCCTATTTGAATGTGCTTTATTTTTGTCTTATTTCATGCTGTACGTTAGAACAGTTCTGGACTTTGTTAGTAGTTTCTGTGAAACAATTTAGAGCTAAAGTATGCAGCCACCATGATATCTGAAGTTATGGAAGTGTTTAATTATTGCATTTCTTCTGTCCTTCAACCTTATTTTTCCAAGAGTTCTTTTTTAACTGGACATCCGTTAGGGGTCACAAACTTAAATTATTCTAAAGGATGGAACAAGATAGTGTGTTCTTTTAACACTAACAAAGATTAGTTTTGACTTTTCTGTCCAGAACACTAACTTTATTGCAGTATTAACCATACTGGCTTTACATTATAGGGTTCATTAATGGCATTTGGAGTGAAAATACAAACTCATTTCTCCATACTCTCCTGACAGGCATGTCTAGACATCCTCCGGCTCCTGATATCCCAACCTTTTATCCATTGTCTCCAGGTGGTGTTGGACAGATAACACCACCACTTGGCTGGTAAGGACCACTTGCTTCTTACATGTGTGCATGCTTATCCTCTCTGATTATTGATTCAATTGCAGCATTTACAAAGGAAAAAAAGATCATTGTATTGATTGTTTTATTTTAGTTTAAAAGATCAAAAATGTTGAGCTTTGAAATTAATGGGATCTGTTCTTGGAGATGTATGGAAACAGAATTGTGTGGATTTTACTTTGAAATCTGTATACATTTATGGCTCAGGCTTGTGGCTTTTGGCATTTGGAAGGACTGTAGAATAACAGGTCTCAAGGAGTTAAACAACAGTTTTAATAAACAAAATTGTAATTATTTGTGGGGGAAAGAACAAGCTTTGAAATACGAGAAAATCTTCCTTTACTTGAAACGGCACCAAGCCAGAGAGACTTCATAGTCTGTTCCATCTCTTTTAGTTTCTGTAAGCAAGGGCAATGCATAGTTACTGAAGAATTTGTGTTATTTAATTTTATTATTAGAAATATAAAAATCCTACTCCCATGCTTGAAGAGCAAGATTCCTCCTAGAGCCAGTACTCATGTTCAGTGTCTCCAGTAACAGGGTGTTTTGACTTTGGGCTGTTTCCTCTTTACACACTTCAGTGGCACTTACATAGCTGCTGACATCAATTTTGCCATCTGTGCAGTCTGGATTCCATTTCCGCCCGTAGGATTGCCCTATGTGTGTATTTGCTGGAAGTGAAATGGAAGAGGATGGCCCTCCCACCTTTAAGCAAGATAGGGCATTAGATCAGGAAGCGGGTGACCAAGGCTCTACCTCTCCCCACCCTTCTTATCCACAGGGGGTTTGAACCTGAATTTTCTGATCTCAATAATATTCTCTAACCACTGGGCCATAAGGGGTATTACCTAGAGCCCTTCTCTTGAAGCTGGCTCACTGGATGGCCAGGAGGAAAAGACGTGGGCCAGGTGGTGATGAGCAACCTCCAGGGCGAGTGGCTCAGTAAGAGAGAGGGATTCTCTGGGTTCTGGTCTCCGTCCCTTGTCTGCATCCTGCATTTACTATTCATTGGATAAAAAGCAGCAGGATTAGTTTCTGTCACATTAGGATGTGGGGCTAGAACCCTGCTTCCCCCCTCTTCCCAGCCAGCATCTGCC